ATGTAGACATGCTCTTACACAGAGACCTTCTTTGGGCCTGGGAAATGAGCAACACACCTACATACAGTACGAGGTGAAACAGATTGTTTAGTGTAAACAGTTAACATGGACTGCATGGGACTTTGCAGGGTGGAAGTGACCTGTGAACACTCCTTCCCTAGCCTGGGATCAATATAGCTACAACACTGAGCATCACCAAAGACAGGTGACACCTAAGGACTTGTCTATACTGCTACTGTACTGTGCTGTAACTTTCTCCCTCGGATGTGAAAAAACAAACACACACCCAAGCACAGCAAGTTACAGCACTATAAAGTGCCAGTGTAAACAGGCTGCCAGTGCTGGGACCAGTGCTCCCAACAGTTAGCTACTTCCTTTAAACTAGACATTGTACACTAAGCCCTGGACTCTGGGCTACGCAGGCTCCAGCAGCATACCCTACACTTATACCTTTAAAATGTTTAATTTCCAAAGTAACGGTGTTCTGCTGGCGCTGAGAACCAGAGACCTGTAAGTTGGCACCACCAATAAATAGAATTTGTACTGGCGAGTCAGATGCTAGGAACAGATTGTGGCACTACACACCTAAATCACTGTATGCCCAAACTTACAGATGCAAGAACAGAGAGTCTGGTTGGGCCCCTTTGGAAACTTGGCTTTAAGTGCTATTATAGTACAGCAACCTGAGTGGTACTGGAGGAACTTGCAGAGATGCAAAATTCCGTGAGCAGGTGGATGTGTGAGTGAGACAGACAGTCAGCAAAGCAAGGGAGCAATTTTAGACAGAACTAGGGAACCTAGGATCTGCTCACTGAAACCAAATATTTGTAGTTAGGCTTTCAGATAACCAATGGGAACCGCTGCTGAAATGATGAAGAGCTGTCAATCAGCATTTAAATAGTTATCCACCTCAGTGAGGCGCTGCAAGATTCTCAGATGACAGGGACTATACAAGTAACTTATTATTTCTAGGAGTATAAAACAACTTCCCTTTCATCCTTGAGAGCACACGCCGAGGAAGGCTATAAATAATTTCAACATCTGTTTCTCTAGTTAATAAAGTTTAATTTTTTAAAAAACATGCCAATGAATTTTGACATTTTAATGATTTGGAAGTGGTTTGGCAGTACAAAATCTGTCAGCTATCCAGCTTACTCTACATCCTTGAAATTGTACTCCTGAAGATCAAGAGTCTCTTACAGCTCGTTGAATAAACTTCCAGCTATCACTAAAGGCAACTGTTACTGTACCCAAACTTATTAGCAGAAGATTAAGATTTCCCTGCCATTGAAAGTGGGCATTTATGTTCCCTTAGGGTAGAATTCCTGGCCAAGTTTCTCATAAGGCAGACTCATTGGTCTACTTACCTGAGCACAAGCGAGTTTTTTGGTGTAAGTGAACATCCACTCCAAAGGTTCCAGCTGCATGCTAGCTTCCCAGAATAGCTAACTACAGGGCAAGATCACAGGCTGGAGTGAGTTATATTTGTAACCCAAAAAACCATAATGTTCATATTGCAAAGCATCAATTATGAAGAAATGGGTACCTAGTGCTGTGAACCAGCTGTTTAATTAGTTGACTGTTTACACACAAAGCCTGTGATAAATAAAGCATAAACACTTATTTAGGCATGTACGGGTTCAGAAAAGGTTTGCTCTGTTTGGTATTGTAGGTTTATGGTCAATATTTCTATTTAGAAAAGTAACAGGATTTGTAAATCAATCCTCTTTTTAGCTGCAGGAACTAATGGCAGCTCAGAGGAGCACATTAAACAGTAATATCATAAATATCTCCTTAAACCTTATTTAGTGGTACACTGAGCACCTTTCCCTTTCAGACTGGGATAGCAGGATTTCTACATACTGTCTCTCAAAGAGCCTTGTGATGTTTCCATTATCCAGTTGTTTCAGACTTCTTCCCCTTATCCTGCTTGTCTTGCAATCGAGAGTTCTGCTAGTGATTTTATTACAGCAGGATCAGGTCTGTCACAAGGAAAAAGGCCTGACAGTCTGTGATCTTTCTGAGGCTACATCTAGACTAGGGACTTTTTCCAGGGAGGTATCCCGGAAAAACACCACCGTATCCAGGGAGCGCGTCTGCTTTTCCGACATTTTTTGCAAAAGAGCAGACACACTTTCGGAAGCCCCTATTTTCCTCATTTCATGAGGAAGTAGGGCTCTTCCAAAAGAGATTTTCCCAAAATTTGGCCCAGTGTAGATGGGACACATTTCGGAAAAGCCTCTTCCAAAAAAACAATCGGAAAAAGGTACACAAATTGCAGAATGCAATTTGCGTACCTTTTTCTGATAAAACTCCGTAGTCTAGACATAGCCTGAGACCCCAACACTACAGTGACTTACACATGCACTTAATATTAAGCACCCATCCAATACATACATGGATTTTTTTTTAATGTGTATTTATAAGCTGGGGATTGGAACCAAAACTAAGTAAGAAATCATTTTTACTCTATACTCTCAAAAGCATTAGGAGAACGGCAGCCAAAGCATGTTTATACACATACAGGCTCTGTTGACCCTCCCCTCCACTTTCCAAGGTTGGAATCTTGCAGTTGCCATTTTTGTTACAACAGAACACAAGATCCCAGCCTCAGACAAAGCTTTATTGAGCCAGATCCAAACAGATGCAGTTAAAAAAAAAATTCTACAGCGAGAAATGATACCAAACTGGGTGGGGTTGCAACTTCTTTGGAGGATAGGGACATAATTCAAAATGACCTTAGCAAGTTAAAGAAATGGTCAGAGGTAAACAGGATGAAGTTTAATAAAGAGAAATGCAAAGTGCTCCACTTAGGAAGGAACAATCAGTTCCATATATACAAGATGGGAAGCGACTGTCTAGGAAGGAGCATGGCGGAAAGGGATCTAGGGGTCATAGTGGACCACAAGTTGAATATGAGTCAACAGTGTGATGCTGTTGCAAAAAAAGCAAATATGATTCTAGGTTGTATCAACAGGTGTGTTGTAAGCAAAACTCGTGAAGTCATTCTGCCGCTCTACTCTGCACTAGTTAGGCCTCAGCTGGAGTACTGTGTCCAGTTCTGGACGCCACATTTCAAGAAAGATGTGGAGAAATTGGAAAGGGGACAGAGAAGAGCGACAAGAATGATTAAAGGCCTAGAGAACATGACCTATGAAGCCAGGCTTCATGAACTGGGCTTGTTTAGTTTGGAAAAAAGAAGATTAAGGGGGGACATGATAGCGGTTTTCAAATATCTAAAAGGGTGTCACAAGGAAGAAGGAGAAAATTTGTTCCTCTTGGTTACTGAGGACAGGACAAGGAGTAATGGGCTTAAAGTGCAGCAGGGGAGGTTTAGATTGGACATTAGGAAAAAATTCCTAACTGTCAGGGTGGTCAAATATTGGAATAAATTGCCAAGGGAGGTGGTGGAATCTCCCTCTCTGGAGATATTTAAGAACAGGTTAGATAGACATCTGTCAGGGATGGTGTAGACAGAGCTTGATCCTGCCTTGAGGGTGACCTGCCAACAAAAGTTAACTGTGTTAATTCCCTACTGTAATGTAGTGTGGACAAACAAGCAGCTTAGTTTTAAGATGAAGCTTGATACATTTATAAATGGGATTACCTGGCAGGGTTGCCTGTGATAACAGGGAATGGGCATGATAACTAAGGAATTCCCTTCTCTGTCCTGTGTTCCCTTTTTGGTTTCTTCAATGTGCAAAGGAATGAATAGTTTGAAAAGGTGGTGGGTATGAAAGCAATCCTGCCTTATGTGAAATTAGACATTCTTGTCTTTGTTGTAGGAACCTGCAGATGAAGGGAGAATAGCAGGGTAACTTTCCCTCCCATTTTGCTGGTCACTTTTTTTTTTTAAATAAAATAATTTGTTCTTATCTTTCACCTAATTTTTAATTACACTTCTTATGGCGACAGCATCATCTTTGTAAAAGTGAAACTGCAGACTCCAAGAGCAAGATAGCAAATTCATTCTTTCCTTTTAATAGAGTATTTGCAGAGCAATATCACTAATAAATCCCTCCAAAGCCTGTGGAAATCAGAGTTCAATTTCCAAATTGGTTTCTTAATCTCCAGTCTAGTAGGAGTTACAGGAAGAAGACTTCTAGACACAGCATGCCCAATTGGGAGCATCCTCTCTATCTAATCAAGCAACCGCACTTATGGACTTTTGAAGGACACCACAGCTTTCTCTCCTTGCTGGGAAAGATGGTTGATGCAACGAGAGGCTAGGGTAATTGGGGGGGATGAGGGTGGGAATTGGGGATTTCCTCCAGGCTCTAACAAAGACACAGAAAACATCAAGAAGGTAATACTCTAGTGCAGGGGTTCCCAAACTTCTTTGCACTGTGATCCCTCCTTTTGACAATGAAAATTATTTCATGACCCCAGAAGGGAAGACTGAGGAGCTGTGGGGCCAAAGCCCAAGTCCCACCACCACAGGAAGGGGAGCCAAAGCCCAAAGGCTTGAGTCACAGGTGGGGGATTTATAACCTGAGCCCCTTGACCCAGGACTGAAGCCATCAGGCTTTGGCTTCATCCCCGGGTTCTGGGGTTCAGGCTTCAGCTTCAGCCCTGGGCCCCAGCAAATCTAATGCCAGCCTTGGTAGCCCCTTAAAATAGCAGAGATTCTCAAACGGTCCTGATCTATAGCTTGAGAACCTCTGCTTTAGTAGTAATACCTACCACATCTCCCCCCGTTTTCTTCATCGCTACAGGAATAAGGGAAAGCCAAAAAATTATTCGATTTTGTTTCAAATGTCTCTCATTGAAAAGCATCAGGTGGCTCCAGTTTATAGCAGAACAGAGGACAGTAGCTTGCATTTTTCTGCTCACACGAGCTCTGACATTCTCAGAAGTACCATCTGAAAGTCTCTAACCTCTCCCATAGAGAGTGTTTATCTGTGCCTAGACCAAACCTTGGTGACATATTCAAAATAGTAAGTTAGAATGCCTCAAGGAAGGATATATGTGTAACCTTTTATAGTCTTCAACAATACAGCTTACTTCAAATCACCTTTATTAACTTATTCAGATTTTTTTTAAAAGTCATATTACTATACAGTATACATTGTCAGTTTTTTTAATCCACTGTGTATGAGTACAAAGTCTGTAGTAGTCTTACTGAAAAAAAAATGCTATTTTTAGACTCCTGATGGGTAGACAACTTCATCAGATGTAATGCTTTACATGGAAAGCAAATCAATTTCTAGAATGGTCATCAACTATTAAGATAAGCGTACAAATTTAATTTACAACAAAAAAGAAAGCTAAGGGTTACATTAACTCCAGATGCCACGTGATTATATGTACATAGACAAAAATGATTACCGCAATTATATCCCAAAGCAGGGCTAAAATAAAAAGTTTTAGCTATGATCTTTTGGATACTCATTTTTTCTTGGTATATAGTTTGTCTTCATAGTTGATTGGGATTATTCCATTACACTCTTCTGTTTTAGATACGGGATGCTTTAAAAAAGTAGGTCTAATTACATCAACATCACGTCCTAAATATTCCATCATTGTTGAAATGATTGTAGGTGGGCCATCAAAGTCTACCAAAAAATACCTGTAATGGAAAACATACACACCATTAAACAAAATGTGTGAACTGCAAAAGCTTTTATTTCATAGCATTATTCTGTTGAAATTGCAAAATCGAACTACCAATTCTCTGAAATTAATACCTTATGTTTTTTCTAAACTGTTTTTAAAACAAAGCTCAGTAGCATTATGGATTTTAAAATATGGGTAAGTCAATTTAGCCAGAGGTACACAACTAGAAAACAAGATAAAAATGACCATCTTTCCTCTTCACGGGGCATCATTTCTTGCCAGTGCATGTGACGAAGTGGGCTCCAGACCACCAAAGTTTATGTCCAAGTAAATCTGTTAGTCTTTAAGGTGCCACGGGACTCCCAAGACTAAGGTGCCCCTTTGTTTATGCCAGTTAAACAAAACGTATGCTTTCCCTCCTTGAATTCAATTCTCCTCAGGGATTCTTACCATGTGGAGAATGGAGTAATGTATAAACTTTAGATGTTTGACACTGACGTTGGTTCATTGTATGGGTAATATTTCTTTCATCCCAACATCACTTAATAACTATGCGGAAGTTTAAAATAACAACAAGAAGTAAGGGGGGGGGGGGAGAAGAGCTGGAGCTAGCCCAAATGAGCACGTATTCATTAGTGACATGTCTTAACGTACGAAAGCTGAGGATGTATGTTGAAACTGTGCACTTCTGACATTCATTCAGCAGCTCAGCATACTGTAATGTAGGTCTTGCTGCTTGCCATGAGGTCTTATTTCACACACATACAAAATGTCTGATATTTTTAGCATCAGGCAAGCATTGCTTGTCAGCTTTCTATTTATCTGTGACAGACGTACAGGAGCTTGCCTATTGCAAGGACAATCCCACTCTCCATTTATATTTCAGCCTCCCTATGTCACTTCTGCAACCACTCATTAAACCAAGTAAATCATGTGTTGGAACTTATTCCATTTGTTCATTTTTAATTTTCAAGAAATCTTTTAGAACTCCTGTGTGATAGAGCAAGTGGCTTCACAAACATATGCTCGTCCCATTTTGGAGGAGAGAAAATAACTGGATGTTGTATTTGGGTGTTTGAAAATTAAATCCTTGTGCAATTCCTATATCCTTCAATGCCCCAAATGTGTTCAGACAGCAATCCCCATGGCTCTGGTATATTTTGAGTGATCTTACGACAATGATCACGCGCAGGTGGAAAGTTAACAAATATATAACAATTTGGCACTGTAAATAAGGCTGTAGTTATGGGGACATTTAATCCCTCAGCTTGTTTTTGGTAAGGCTTTAACTACATATAGTGCAATACAAAAGAAGACTTAGCTGTCTCTCTGAAGTCCTATTAAAGATTAAAAGATTGGGATTGGCTGCTCACTGTAGTTTCCAACTGCAACATTCAGTAGACAGTAAAGAATTCCCATTTTGCTTTTTTGTTTTTAAACTCCTGTACGGAAGCATTTATTGAAGCTATGGGAATTAAGATAACTGCTTTCTCTGCCCCCAATTATACTTCAGCAGAATGCAAAACTGAGTCAAACACAAAAGGAAACTATATTTTCTTCACATATAATCCAGAACAATCCATACTCAGAATAAGCAGAGTACCAGTTAGTTTTACCTGGAAATTATAGCTGATATGTAGTATTTTGTCCCTACAGTACAGGCCAGATTCTAATTCAATCTAATTTTGGATGCATACAGGGCAATACAAAAGTGCCAAGATATGCAACAAGCGACAGGCACCCAGACTAGAAACTGGACCTAAATATATGTCAGAATACGGAGTACAGAGAATGCGTCAAAAACAAAAAGTTAATATAATGACATACAAGGAAAACAGACTCTTCTAATCGATTATACCTGTAATATGAAGTTCATTAGGATCAACAGGCATTCACTGAGAGAACATAATTCCCCCCACTACGAAGGGACAGTACAAAAGCTATAGACGTGAGTACACTGCCACTTGGAGCAAGCCTGCAGCCCAGGTAAACAGAGGAAAGTTAGCTCTGCATCAGCTAGTACACTAAAAACAGAGGTTTGGAGGTTGCAGCGCAGGCAAGTGGCTTGGGGTAGCCATGCGAACTTGGACCCTGGAGGTTGGGCAGCCTTAGACTTGAATGACTGTGTCTTGCATCAGGGTTGAGGACGGTAATGCTTGGCCCCTGGGCAAGGTGAAGGGCCAGCTCCCAGCCCTCCTGGAAGAGGCAGGCAGCTCTTCTGCGATGCCCATACTGTGCACACTGTGCCATCTGGGGCTGCAGAGGAAGTGGCCAGGAGCCTCGGGCCCAGGATTGTAAGCGACTAGTCGCTTCCCCCCACCCTTGCTGCCTCAAGCAGAGGTAGCAAGCAGGGGGAGCAGGAGCCAGTGCTGGGGGGAGCCAGCTTAAAAGCCGGTTCCCCCCAGCACCATCTCCGCAGGTGACAGGGGAGCAGCAGGGACTGGCCATCAGCCAGGATCCAATCCTGTATTCTATACTGGAGTAACTAGTCCCGTTGGGGCAGATCTTCATTCATTTAAGAGACAGAGTCGCAGTGGGGGTAGCTGCCAGGACCGGGAGCTAACCCCGCTGCGGCTCCCCTGCTCACTGACTAATCGACTCGTCGATGGAAAATCCATCAAATTGTTGATTAAACTATATTTAACATCCCTACCCAGGCCCTTTTAAATTGCTGGACCCCAAGGCAGCTGTCCTTGTCCACCGTGGTCAGCAGCCTTGGCTAGCCTGCTGGCTCGAGCAAAGCTAACACAAGTCTGTCTACCTAGGCTGGGAAGTTTGCTCCCCACTGCAGTGTAGACATACTCTACATGCCATTTACAGGCAGAAGTGGAGCATAAGTGGTGCACAGGTCTTGTGCAGGGTTGCTGTACAGTGGTGAATGCTACACACAAGGAGAAAACAATAAATAAGGATTTCCATAACCAAGTATTCCCAACCCAGTGAATGTGTCACAATGGATACTAATGATCTTTTGTAGCAGAAGTGTGGCAGTTTGGAAAACTGTATTAAAGTACTGATTTCTCTGTATTAGGCTTGGAAGGCAAAATCTCCCATGAAGTTAATTAAGGGACCCAATCCTGTATTCTATACTGGAGTAACTAGTTCCCTTGGGGCAGATCTTCAGTGGATGTAAACTGTCATTGTTTCACTGAAGTCAGCTAGAACATTAACAGTTTATACCCCATGACTTCAACAGGAATTGTTATATGAAGAAACTTGGCTCATGAATGCTATAATGAGAAGTAATTGCAAAGTCTCAGGGGACTTCCACGGGAAGCAGGATTGGGCCCAATAAATTTGGAAAGCCTGAAATACCTTCGTACTTTCTTATCTCCAGTAAGTCACATACTTAAGACACACACACAGGGCGCAACAATTTAGGTAATCTACTCGCCATGGGAGAGTAGATTATAGCCCGGCATGGCACCTCAGCACAATCGGCGCATGCACAGCGCAGTCTGCACATGCGCAGCGTGCTGAACTGTGCAGCTGGCGAGCAGGGCTCACCGCAGCTTGACAACCATGTTATATCTGATGTCACAATGCTCCCCTATTTGCAACAACAAATGGACACTGAAGGTACATCTTCGCAGCAGGGCAAAAGTCAAATTAAGCTACACAACATGAGATACGTCAGTTGTCTAGCTGAAGTCAAAATAGCTTAACTCAGCTTTCAGCGTTGTCTACACAGCAGGAAGTCAAAGGAAAAATATTGACTACCAAAGCAATGATGTTGGACCCTAAAATCCTTTCATAGTTACAACCAAAAAAGGAAAGGCAAGCAAGTTCTAATATATCGTACTACATCAAGGTTTGCATGTTCTTTGGAAATTAGCAACACCATTCATTCATGAACCACCCACCCCCCTCTTCCATGCTATTTTCAGTTGGCCTTTACAGAATTTCATTCCATTTCTAAATGCAAGTTGTGTGCTGCTTTTTACTGTGCTCCTAAAACTGCACTAGCTTTTCTCCCCAAGGAAGGTTTACATCTTTGTGGTCTCTCACACATAAGCAGACAGTGGAAATTTCCACTGACGCACTGTAGATAAATGAAGGAGAAGCAGGGGGATGGGAAGGATGAGCTGCTCCAGCACATCTCTGTCTTTTTCACGGAAGAAATACTTTATCTAAAGATACAAAAAAATGCTGCAGCTGGCAGAATGTAATTTATAAACAATACCAACCACCCTGCTTTCAGTGTAATAAAGCACTAATTGCTCTAATCTATAAATAGGAAGGGGAAAACAATAAGTCTTTTTGTCTTTTGTTTCCATTAATGTAATTGTGCTTAAACACAAAAACAAAACAAAAATCCTGCTGTGATTCATGAGATGATCTGGAATCCTGCCCAAAAAGACAGTATCTAGTCAATGAAATATATTTAGAGATAGATTTAAGTATTTAAATAATAGTGCACACAGCAGCCATCCATTTTTCTTAGTTTAAAACAGTAAGCTGTGAACAAACATGCAAATATTTGCAGCTACTATTTGTCAGGTGACCAAAATAAAACACCAACAAGGTTGAGAGGAAGGAAAAAAGAGGATATAGGAAAGAGACAGGCTCTTTTGCAAGCACAGCTGTAAAATTGAATTGCAGCTCTCTAGGAGTTAGCAAAGTCATCATAGGAGAAATGCAGGAAAATTCCACTGATACGTTGTGAGACCACAGTTATTTTTGTAACCCTGTTTTACTGTAAACAGAAGGATAATTTAAATACAGGACAGCAGAATATTTATCTGCTGAAATGTCAGTGTTATCAAAGGAAAGTGGCATTTAATTTTTATATATCTAGGCTAAGATTTATTTCAACCTTTAGCCCCAACATTACCCACATCTCCGTTTTCAAATGGGTACTTCGACTTAGATTCTTAGAAGGTATATGGGAAACACCTAGGTCAAAGCTTGCTTGTAAATCCTCCAGGGACATAGCTCTCAGGGTATGTCTACACTACAGTGTCATTTCGAAATATCTTATTTTGAAATAGTTATTTCAAAATAAAATATTTT